CCTTTGGGTTTTCATTTCCTTGCATATCACGGAGTTTCCTGTCATATAGAATGGTAATAGAATGGTTATAGATCTCGGAGACCAAGATCCTGGAAGAGGGGAGTGGTGTAACGGAGCCATTTCAACTGTCTGGTGTATGAGTACACACAGGGCCCGGTTACATGCTGAGAGTTATTGTTAGAAGCCAGTTGCACGGTGATATGCAAGTACCGGCAGTGTGGTTAGCTACCAGCTGTTAGAGTAACTACATTCCGGGCGCTAGGAAGAGGATCTATTCATGGGAGCAATGACTGACGAGTCTATGCCTCGCCAGTGACTAGAAGACCGGCCAGAGTGAAGCTCTGATTGACCGGTGATCCTCTGTATCCTCGGTGCATTGTAAGTCCGCCGAAGGGCAGGGACTATGCTAGGGAAGTCTACAATAAGCGAAAGCTCTACAGCAATGATTAAGCTTACGCCTGAGCGGCAGCTCATTCATGCAGGTCCTCAGTTGTGTGGCAACCAAGGCTGCAGGTGTTACAAAGGCTTTGACTAAGGGTGGTTGCCTTGGGTATCGGAAACACCTGCTGACGCTTAGAGAAAAGCGGGGTAGCGGTGGTATTGTTTCCGGTACTGAGGGAAGGCCCACCGGAACTTAGTAAAGGAGTTAGGAGCAGAGAACAGAGGCCTTCGGAGTATAAGTACTCAGGTTCATTCCCGCCCTTCAGTCCTATTCTCTCCAGTCTTCATCAGAAAGAAAAACCAAGTTCTTATCGGTAGCAGAGCCCTTAAAGATTATTGAGTTCTAGCGATAGTATCTTTGAATAATCTGCAACCTGATTGTCTATCTTGCACGGCCGTCTCTATTCTATCTTATTCTATTTTTCTTAGAAGAGACCCCCGTTACAGCTGAGCCTTTAAAGATTATTGAGTTCTAGCGATAGTATCTTGAATAATCTGCAACCTGGTTATCTATCTTGTACGGCCATCTCTATTCTATCCTATTCTATTTTTCTTAGAAGAGATTGCCATTACAGGTAATGAGGCGAAGACATACTATGTAGGATTCTCTTTACTATTCTATGCCAATTAATATGGATTCAGATTTGAGACAAGGGCAAGCACTATCATGGGAGGTTTGAACTTGATACTGATCAGAGCAAAGTTTTGCGTAAAGAGAATCAATTTAAAGTAACCGACAAGTAGCAAACAAACTAACAGAAAAGTTAAGCTGACATGAGAGTGAATGACAATAAAAATTTGTGCAGAAGAAAGGAGAAGAAGAACAGAAATTATTACAAAAAACACTATATGATAGAATCACTCCGATCCCTATCTGAGGTGGCACTGGAAACTGATTAGTAATGGAAGCAAACCAAATAAGAACCGATTATTAATGAAACTCAAGAACCAATTTCATTATTCACGTTGCCAAAATTTGAAAACAGGAAGATTTCCCCGGACGCCGTAACATCAAATCGACAACTTGGTTAAAGGATCAGAACAGAATTTAATTTGTGGTTTTTGAAGAGTATTAGATATTGATGGCGGGGTTATTTATACATTTATTTTTTTTGTTACTATTACTATTTTTAAAACCTCAACTCAACATTCTACGTTCATGCAGCCTGAGAGTGAGTTGGGCTTTTCAAACATTTTTGCACACCACACTGTTCAATATAAGAGTTAGAGTGCTTAACCTAACTCATTCAACCGGACTACAATTCATATTGGTTACCTATATTAAATTCAACAAAAACAGCTTGAATTGTTGCTGGAAAAATTGTTTTATGAACAGTCTCACGACCGCTTCAACCCCATCCGCCCTGGTGATCATGATTTCCTCACTCAAAATGACATGAAATTTTTTTTTCCGAGTGCTAGGGTTACGGTTGGTTAGGGTTGACTAGGGTTATGATCTAGGGTTATCTAGGGTTACGCGCAGAGGTAGGGTAACAAAAACAGATAAGCTAATTCGCTCGTCAACGTCTTCTATCGCGTGCGCACAGTTGCCTAACTCTTACGCTGTTAAAGCTGCCAACTTTTCCAAGCATCACGTCTCAATTCAGTGGCTTGCGTGCGAAGCTCGCCTGGTGTTACCATGTCTCATGTTGGCAGCATTTAAGTAACAGCTTAAGGGATAGCGCTGCGCAGGTGATAGCGACGTGGAATCGGTAGCGGTGGCACCATAGGGAATGAGGAGGTCACACACGGTGACTTGTTTTCTCCTGTCTCTGAATGGCTGAAGTCAACCACCCTTGACGTAGACGAAGTAATAGTATTAGTGGCCGGCCGAGCAAGTACCCACGGCTCAATCGGCCCGAACCCACTGCTCGTGGTGACCTAGAACATCCACTTTTTATAAGCCCAACCCGAGTAAAACGTATTACCGTTAAGCGAGAATAGCCCAAACGAAGAGTTCTAGACACCAACTCACTCGGGCCTTCGTATCACCTTGACGTTGCTAGTCGTATTTTGCTTGGCACTTGATGATTACTCCAGTCGTTCGTAGAGTGAATGAGATACTAAGTGTTGGCGGGCAGGGATTCTAAGTATGGTGAAAACTAAGTGCCCAAGCTTGGGAACTGAATATTGCTTTTAATGATTATTCATTGACCCCTGTCAATCAATACCCAATACCCTTCTTCACCCGTGTACAGAACTGGTTCCCATGCTCCCATACATCAGACCACTTCCCTTACTCCACGGAACCCCCCCGCTCGCTGAGACCTTGGTGTAATCAGGCTATGATGTTGGTCAGTGCATGTACTCTAGACCCAGAATATGATAAGGCTAGACCTGAAGTACGTACATCAAATATCGCAATCATAGACCGGGTTTAAGGTAAAAGCAGAGCGCGGTAGGCGACCAGTTGGCGTGAAGTTGTAATTTGATGTTCGTGAATTGGGGGTACACTCACTCACGGGGCGAAGGTTGATCCCTCGGAGTGCGGTCAGGGATTTAAGGCCAATAGCAGAGTTGACTTTAAGAAGCCCAGGCTGATGCGAACGTCGGAACCAGACAGCATCTGCCGTTAATAGGTGAGCGAGTGTAGTTAACCGTTCAGTCCATTTTAGGATACCGTGCGCGCTCTTGATTGCGTTTGGGTATATGTTGTGGGTTCGAGGTCAAATGACGCATTTAGCAATCTCGTTCGGTAAATTTTACGGAACTTGAGCACATCCATGACCTTTTCGAGTAATCTATAACTCTCCGTCCCGCTGTCAGATTCCTCATGCCTCTTTTAAATATGCTGTCTGTTTCCCATCCAGGTTTTCCATGCGAAGATTAATTAGGCGGAAAAAGGCAACAACCGGGATGTAATCCCGCTCGCGCCTTGACCTTCTCATTTTGTTAAAGGCGTCCGAGGCGCGTCGTGTTCGTGTCTTCATACCTAGACCCTCCTACAACGCTGAAGGATGCGGCTTTGAGTTACCTGACCAGGGTTTGATCGACACAACATACAGTCCAACTTAAGTCTGTCAGGTAGTAATGACCCGGTTCCTGGGTCTGTACTCTCGGTCACATTTCTCACTAACTTGTGATTCGTCTTCATATCTTCCAACTCTGTGGCGTTTAGCATAACCTATGATTCAGGAAACATATGTTCGTCCTGCTTGAGACTTGGCTATCACACCGCTGAGCCCTGGTTGTAGGCAGTTAAGATCGAGGTAGACCTTTGGAATGATAATTCTGCCCTTCTCTTTTCTGCGTTCTGCCCGAACGTGAAATCATTACTCGAAACAGTAGTTGTCGCGTCACGCTCCCAGCCAACCAAATGAGCGTGCATACGCCAATGAGAAGTGATTATAGTAGAACCAATCACGAGCCAATAGTAACGACTAGAGGAGGATGGATACTGGCGCATCCGCGGAAGCTCACGACTGGTCGAACCCTTAGGTACAGAGTTCGTGAATATGGAAACACTTCTGCAGTTCAGACCATAATGAGTTAATCTATTAAGGCTCTGTCTGAACAATTTTCAGAACGGTTTTTCCAGTTTCAAAACCTCTTTCAACTAAAACCCCGTTTCATAGAAACTGTTGTTTGGCCGGGAAATTTGGGAACGAGGAAACCTTGTTCAATCCTCTAAACAGAGTTTCAAAAAAGCGGAGTTACCTCCTTTTCTTCTTAACAGCTGAGCTCGTGGACAGCGTTGCAACGTTACAACCAACCACAGTGTACCCTGTTATTCCGTTACAGAAGGTCACCTTTTACTCCCGTCAACGGGCCATTTAGAAAGGTGAGTTTTCAATTCTTGGTTACCTCCAACGGAGTCTTAGTTTGGTGTTGCCAAAGACTAGAAGCGGTCTTAAGAGTTAGGGGCGTCGCTTAAGGATAAACTATGTTTTCTAACGACTGGTGGATGTTAACGGCTTCAGAATAGAATTTTTTGGTAAACTTGAGAGATTACTTAGCCCTTTTCGGGGATATTCCTTTCGTTCTCCTGTCCTGTTTGGTTACTGTTATGGAGGTGGAATTGTATCGACAGCAGCTGTTTATCGGTGTATTGTTCAGCACAAGGATTAACCGAAGACCTATCCTTATTGGCCAGCACCTAAACCATGGAATATAGCCTCAAGACCTTTTCTATAGCCGAACTATCAAGGACCTAATGAGTTATCATCTAGCCTTCTTGATTTTGTGACGCCTTGGCCATGGTTGAATTTTGAAAGCTTAGGACCTTTACCAAAACTGGTCTTGGGTGAGCCACTCATGGCTCTTCTTCGGTTCCCAGGTTTATGCAGCGGGTAAACCAACCCTTCAAATAATGTCCTCATTGGGGCCACCTAGGGCCAAATAACCTTTGATTGAACCCTTGCCCTGATGCAGGGTCAAAATTTGAAACATACCCAGACCAAGCATACAGAGCTCACCAATAGCTTTTCATTTGAGTAAACAGCTTGGTTACGTATCTTATCCTCAGTTAGTGGTGTTTCTAATCACCCTGCCCGAACGAGAGCCTTCATGCAGTATGATTGTGTCGATGAGGAATCGAAATCTTCGCAGTACCTTCATTTCTACCGCTGAGTGTAGGTTGAATATCTTGCGAGCTTGTCTGGTAGATTATAGCAAGGTTCTTCCATGCTCGCCATTGTTTCTGGGGCTGTTCCTGGCCACACAGGAGCATATCTTGCCGTCGTAATTGGTTTCATTCCTCCACGGCCGGGACCATCCCCGAGTGGCCCAACGCTGGTAACTTCGTTACAAGACATTTAGCTTGCGCACGAGATGCACTCTAGCTGAACACCCCAGTTCTTATCTCACAATCTGAAAATGCCTAGAATCTTTCAGAAGAAATGATTAACGTGCGTTAAATACTACGCGGTGTTAATTTAGGGCCCACTGATCGACGATCAATTAACATCTTGCCTAGATTAATTCTCCTCTTAGGTGGGGGGTTCTTGAGTTGGGTTGGCAGGCACTCCAGGTCGATTACCACAGAGGCGGGAACATAATCATTGATACGCTATGAGCATTTGTGGGTCTCCCGGGTCATTATTCCGTTACCCCGAGTCTCGGGTCCGAGGTTACCCCACAGAGCATTACGCTTAGGTTTGGACTCTGCAAGCTCGAATCATCATCCTAAAGTCCTATTCAGCTAAATCTCAGCGCCAGAGCGAATTCAGAGTGCATTCTCAGGCCAATTCACACCGCCGTTGGGTCTGTAGAGGTCTAAGGCGGCTCACAGCGTTAGCTTCTAACCTTCCAAAAGAGAAAGAAAAACACTACGTTCACTGCTTGAAATATTGATTTTGAAAGGTTTGACCTAACCCACACTCAGCATCTTATATCCTTTAAGCTTTAGCCAACTTCCGAGTCTCTTTGACTCAGAGGCTCAGCTCGCTTTTCACGCCTACGAATCACCACCTGTGGAACCAGAGCCTAAGCTCAAAATTCCGTCACGAATATCTTACTCAAGGTGAAAAGACTACTGTTCTGTCCTTCTGTAGATAATTCACTTTAGCGATGACCTAAATAAGAAAACGTGTATTGTTGATGATAAAGAACGGAAGGTGAGTTGAGACCATTCAGTTCCCATTGAACGGGTAATTCTCTGATTGTGTTAGTTCAACTCGGATTGAACTTTTGCATTCCGACGTCCTATTGGTCAGGCCTGTGGTCACGGGTGATCACTCGGCCTTGGCAGCCGCAAGGCAACCATGGCTCTTCTAGACAACATGTGCTTTTTGCACCTATGCCAACTAAGGCTGTTTAAGTGTGGCTTCTAGAAGGCGCTTGGCATGGCGGGAATTATCCCATTGGCTATTGGCCTCTTCCCAATCCACCACTACACCGAGAGTCTCAGGGACCCTCCCCTAGGTGTTTTGAGATCATTGATGTCTCCCTAGCTACAATATAAGTTAGTTACAAGAGTTTAGATCTCTGAGGATACCGGGTGTCAAGTAATCATTCAGAATCCAAAACGAAGGTGTGATCGTGATGCGGCTCGATGGTTGATTCGCTGTACAGACAGTTGTCTACTCGTTTCGTTTTCCGAATATAGGACGTTGTGCAAGTCTTTGTGAAGTTCAATAGCATAATCAGATGCATAGCCCTTCACCCATTTTTCAACTCATGAAAGGCAACAGAGAGAGATTTACATCTCTAGCGAAGCCTCCAAGCACATTTGAGCTCTAGTCGCCCATAATATCAATGTGCCTCTATCCTGAATTTTGGTGGATCCATCGAGACGTGGTCTAATGCACGTATCTCTATGAGCGAGAACGGTAGGCATGAAACATCAGAAGCCGACATATTCCCCGATTTCACCGATGTGTTTCATCCAAGTTCTGATGCTAAAGAATGAGATTGACAGACGGTCTATAGTTGCAGTCGCTAGGGATGGCCCCTCTGTTGGTTGGGATAACTATAATTCTTCAAGACGAAGCGGCGTGAGCAATATGCAGGACATAAAGTAAGTGATTGCCCTGTATCTTTGCTAGTATAGGTGTTGTGACTGATTGTCTGGGAGAATGAGCATCGCATACGCGAAAAAGGAACGAAGCGAGAGAAAATATAAAGATTCAAATTGAGATCTTCACTGCTCAGGACCTACTGCTCTCGTACTAGCGGACGGGATTTGGACAGCCATCAAGCGACCTGGAGAAAAAGCTGCAGATATCAGCAGTCGGTTAGGAGTTGTTGAGGATGGTGGCCGGGGTGTAAGATGAGTCATAATCTTCCAGGATAAGAGAATATTATAACGTAGGAGAAAGCTTGTGGAAAAACGATGGGAGTCGTACAGCCCCTCCCAAAGTGAAATGAACATAGGCGGCTCCAAACAGGTGCCCCAAACAAGGCTGAAAGATTGAAGCTGTCAAGCAGACCTTCCTTTTCGCTGTCTGTCCCTGGAGACTCAGTGTTCGTGGTCATCTTATAAGTGACCACATCTTCTCTCAGTCAGTAAAGAGGTTCCCTTCAAAAAAGTAGTTGTATTTCAGAGATTAGCGAGCGAGCAGCAGGCGCTCGGGGGTGCCACTGTACATACAAGAAGAAGGCGGGAGAAGTTGAGTATATTACTTGGAGACTTGATTATTTATTGGCAGGTGAGGAAGTGGAGATGGGTTTAGCGATGGTGAGCGGATGTTGTTGTTGGAGATCGAAGTTCTGATGTTGACATTGGTGGTTGGGGAAGAGGTCAAGAGGTGTGATGTTTACAAGTGTAGCGTAGCGCCCTGGACAGGCACGTGGGGCCAAGTGGATGTCGCACATGTTGCGTGCGCAGCGGATGAACTAGCGGCTCTGTTTAGAGTTTCATGCATGACTTGCAGTGAGGCTGAATGATGTTTGCAAGCTCGGTAATCTACATGGGGATGGAATGTACTCGGTGCCAAGGAGCAAATTGAGGATCCAAGGTCAGGCAAGGTCCATTGCGAGTTCGACTTCCACGCGAGTTTCATGCTTATATCTCTGGCCGATGATATGATAGATCCAAGTATTCTCTCTCGCCGCATCAGGTACTGACTATATTCCACGCTCCGCTTACAATTACGAATCGTACAACTAACCGGGATTGGTTGGTCAGTACCGCGCGCGATCATCTCGAGCAGTAAGGATCAGGAGGGAACGGAGTCCCTGTTTGTTTGTTGAGAGAACTGTTGATGGGCAACCGTTCCTGCCTGATTGCTGATTTGATGCATACAGAGAAGCTTGACGCGGCTACGAGGTGCTCAGGCCGAAAATGGCGGGTGTACTGGGTACCTAGGCGCCCCTGTGAGAAGTCAGAAGTGAGATCACCAAACTAACAGACACATAACTAGAGAATAAAACTGACTGTGCCTTCCAGCTCCAGTCGGGTAGTTCTCGGTTGGGGATTTTCTTATTCGGCGTGGTATTCAGTTATACAATCGTTGCCAGAAATCGACTGGATGTGATGTACCAAAGGACCAGATCTGACCTCTAGTGGTTTTATCCCCCACTCGATCTCATGACTGCCGTGCTCAATGCGTTCTCCGGGGGCTGTGCAAGATACTAAATGACTAGGAGGCCATGATCATAAAGCTTAAAGGTCGCATCGGGTGGTTTGAAGGCTTCTTTTCGGGAGTCCGGTCCAGGTAAGAGTAACGTGTCAATATATAGGGAAGTGCAGTTCTATTGCAGCCTATAATTCCTTGTTTCGGACGTGCATGGGCCATGAGATCATGAATGACGCATAAGGCCTAGATTACACCGTGATGAGTCCGTTGGTTGGTCTGGATTGGCGAGAAGTACATGATCCTGCGGAAGTGAGTTAACGGAAGATATGCCGTAGAACATCTTGTGACACCAATTGCCCGCTAATCCTTCCAGAAGATTCCCATCCGGAGGTGTCTGCATGCTCCCAACCCTTGCTTTGGTTTGTTCGCCTCGTGGGATAGTGGATTTGTGCTTGCTGTTTTGTTGCCCACATGGGTTGAGTTCTGAATAGATGGAGAGGATTGGAAACATTGCTCTGTATATGGGTAATTTGGAATGAAGTATACACGTTGTTCTGGACAATAGACAAAGCCAAGGAAGAGACGTGGTGCAGGGTCTCTACTTATATGCCAATGGAACATAATCTAGAGGTGCTGTTGTTCCTCCACAGTAGTCACGCGCACTGCATGCGCACGAAAGCAGTTACTTTTCCACCCGCCAATCGGTGCGAACATTCTTGATTGGTAATAGTGGTTGAAAAGATGTAGCAGTGGGTGCGTTGGAAATATCTCATCGGGAACAAGTAACACGTCTATCATAATGATTGTGCAGTCACAAAAGGGATATTTGAAACCTTTGCAGTCAGTCAGTCCGTTTCGTAATGAAGGTGCAGATCGACCATACATAGCCGCCGACGCCCTCGTCCACAAAGAGACATTAATTGAAAAAATCAAAAAAATAAAGTGTATGCGCATAAGTTGTTAGGGTTCGGGCAAGCTTGAGAACTATACTTCCCAATGTACAACTCTGGCTGTACTACCACCATACAAACCATTCTCTCTTGATCTCGTTCGTACCCTCCCGCTACAAGCGACCAGCCAATCAATTTCGAGTGTAACGAATTTATCCGGAAGGATCGTTCATCCTCATGGGGGCGTAGAGTCACCCATTCATCCACTCTGCATTCGAACTGGTTGATCTGTCTGTCTTCACGGTTCATCGTTCGTTGCCCTTGCCCTTAGAAGCCGACTCGTGGCTTTCACTACTGTCTACTCCAGACTAAGTTGGATTTTTCTCTTCCTGACGATCGACAGAGAACCCTTGAAGGAGGATCACGATTGGCAGTTGGGGAATTTTAACGTCCACGCTCACTCCACTTTACACACCATTGCCGTCGTCATCCTTCCCTCTAGTGACTCCCCTGTTGCACCTCCTTCTCCCCTTCCCTTGATCCTCTCTCTTTCTTCCTCGTCTCCACACACTCTCTCATTCTCTATTTGCCCCCCCCCCCCCCCCCCACGGTGGAGAGTGGTTCAGATCTTACACACTTCTACACTTTCTTCTTTCTTTTTACATCAGTGCTCTTGTCGTCACGCCATCTCCCCAGATCTAGCACGACATAATATAAGCACCGTCTAGGCTTGTGTGTTCTCCCTTCCCTTCTCCCACTCCATCCCTTCCTCCAGACCATCCCCACCCCAACTTGACCCCCACTGACGCGCCACAGTGTACACCCCCACTCCCTTTATCATCACCGCCCCACAATGTCAAGCCGCAGATGGAACGTCCTCCCACCCTTCTCTTACACCCCCTCTCCCCACCGCTCCTGGCGCCACCCCAAAACCCTCCCCGACGAACCCGACGGCGATACAGACTGGGCCGACGATGACTCCCAGGCCGCCAGCTCTACCGTCAGCAGAACACCAAGCACAGGGCCGCCACGGAAAAAGCGTAAAACCAGAAAACACTTCTTCACACGCCCAAAAAGCTCAGCCAGCACAAGAGAGCCAACATGGGAGCCGGAGGAGGAGGATCCAGACATGTTGGACAGTATCACGGTCGCGGGAGGGTTCTTGATTGTCGGGAAGGGGGCAATCGATCCATTATCCTCATCACCGCCGCCCCCACCACCGCCAAAGAAGAAGGGGCCGGGAAGACCACCAGGGACACCGAAAACACCAGGATCTACCGCAAAAAAGACAAAGGGGAAGACGAAGACCGCCAAAAAACCCACACCTTCCACATCAACACGAAAAGGCCGCTCTGCCGCCAATGCCGCCAAGCAAGTCTTGCCCGAACTTGGCCACCACGAGCCACCGCACCCACCTGCGAAATCGCCAACCACAAAGCGCCCCGGCTCGTCCTCGGCGAACCGCGGACGGCGGGAAAGCCCAGCGCCGCGCACCGCCACACCACCGGCATTGAACGCCCCCCACGCCCAAGATGACCCAATGCCCAGCCTCCGCAATGAAATCCCCTCCAGCGTCATTGACTCCGACTCGGGCACCCAAACCCCGCCAAACGCACCAACACCAACCTCCACCGACCCCGCGCCCCCAGAACCGCCGCCTGCGCCCGCGTCTGTGACTTGGCCTACGGCGCTGACGCCCCCACCCCCGAATCCGCACGTCAACGAGCTTGCTGCGCGGCTCACATTCAACATCTATGCCTTCCCCGCGCTAAACCACCCGTGTTATGTGTTAGGACAGGACCTACTCCCACCGCGCGACGAGCGCTCGTCGCCATTGGCGGATATCTTCCCTGATGCGGAATCGCCGCCGCGGCAGGAGGTGAAGCCGTGCTATGAGCGGCTGCGCTATGTGGTGGGGAAAGAGATGGGGCTGTTGCTGCCGGAGGCTGGCGCGGACCAGGAGTGGGGTATATTTGTGAATTACCATTTCCCGGTGCAGGATCAGGAGCAGCTGGACGTGTGTATGGCGCACTTGGTACACCACGGAAGACCGGTGCATGACATTGTGCTGTCGAAGAGGGGGAATCCAGAATTGTACCAGGCTGCGCTGGAGGATGTGCGCAGCGAGGATAGGGATTTCTGGAAAGGACGGAGGGGGCAGATGCCAGGTGCGAAGACGGGAGTGACCTTACTTCAACGAGGGGTGGGAAGGTCGAAGGCGAAAGCAAAGCCAAGGAATAAGGTAAAGAAAAAAGGGAAGGAAAAGGAGCGGAAGGAGCCAGCGGGTAAGAAGCAGACTGCTGAGGAGGATACGGAAATGGATATGGGCCGAGAGATTAGAGATAGTATGGAGCCTTCGCCTTCGCCTTCGGTGGTGGTGAGCTCTCTTGCGCCAGAAATAGGTACGATGCTTCTGCGTATCTCGCCGGTGCCTAATGCATACCAGGAGAGCAGATTGATAGAAGACGACGAATCTACAACCAGCACACCAGCCCAAATGTTCTCTACAAAAGTACAAAGGGTGGCAGCCCCCCCGCTCCCCATGGCAAAGGATAACGAAAAAGAAAACGAATCACTACCGACCCCCGAAGAGACCACCGACTCTTCCCGGGCAGGGAAGAGGAAAATAGGCGGATACTCTTCAACGGCATCTATCAGCTTGGGGAACAACCGGAATGAAAGCAAATGGAGTAGCGCCCCCAAAGCAGAGACTTCGTCGTCGAGGCAGAAGGGTAAAGGTAAGGACGTGGACATGTCAAGTTCGAAAGAAAGCACTGCAGTACCTGGCCCTGAGAGGAAGCGTAGAAAAACTAGTACCGAATCGCCGCCCAGAGCGACGTTAATTCCGGAGGCTTCTACAGGACCAAAAAAGCCGGAGGTGCCAGAAGAACCGGAGGTGCCAGAAGTGCCAATGAACACCAATATCTCAGGAGAACCAGAAATGTCAATGGCGATAGATCTCACTGAGGATCCAGAAGTCCCAGCGGAAACACATACTCCTGAGGATCCAGAGGTTCTATCACAAACAGAGCCTACTGAGGGAAAAGAGTCACCAAACCAAACTAAACCACCGAAGGAAATTGAACCTCCCAAGGAAACTCAGCTACCAATAGATATTAAACCACAACCTGTACCAGAGGTTTCACAAGTTCCGCCAGTGCGAGCGGCATCGGAGGTAGCGGACAGCATAGCGTCTACGGAAACTCAAAGAACTCCAGAGATTCAACAACCAACCGCCCCCGCAGACGCACCAATTGTAGAACTTCCACAGAAAGCACCACTAGCAACAGAGGCACCTCAGGCAGTAGTAGAAACAATCACCCCAGAGATTCCAGTAATTCTTGGGCAATCTGAGGAACCAACTCCCATGGAAACCGAAATACCCGAGGAAACCGCCGAGGAGCCACCAAACGCCTTAGAGGAAGCAGCCGAGGAGCAACCTAAAGCCTTAGATGGAGCAAAAATACCCGAGCCCGAAGCCGGAGAAAACACAGTCACTACGACGGCTGAACAACTTTCACAAGATGTTGTAGATGATGTCAGGGTTAGGGCTAGGGCACAAAAGCTTGTTACGAACGAGGAAGTGAAAGAATTTCACAACTTAAATCGTAACAGGCTTATTGAGGCAGAGGCTAAGGAGAAGGAAGCGGGAGCTATAGAGACTGTTGTAGAGGAGGGTGTGAAGGAGGGAGACGAGGAAACGCTTAAGGATAAGGTTGTGAACAATAATGAGGGACCTGCAGCGAAATGGGTTGTTGGCGATGAGGCGGTAATAGAGGAGCCTAAGTACGACAACAATGAGGAGTCATCGTTAAAAGAGCTGGAGAACGATGTGGATATGGTGCCTACGAAGGAGCCCGAGGTTGCAAGCGGTGCGCAGGGCAGTGAGCATGAGGACCCGGGGGAGACACCAGCAAAATTATCAGCAAGTGAGGGAGCAAGGCAAAGCACGCCACAACCGGAAGGAGAGCCAGTACTTGCAACGTCCTTGAACGCCGCCGTCGCTGCAGACCACACTGAAGATGCACCAAAGGTTGACGTGCCACCACCACCGGCGGCAGTGGAGGAGCCACAAGTCTCAGCATCCACTCCGCCCGTTGTAGTTGTAGACGCTGCTTCCGTAGTGGTAGTAGAGGGGATAGAAGATGCGCCGGCTAAAGCTCTCGATGATTCAGGTTTGTTATCTTTATTCATTATGAGAATTGCTACTGATATATATACAGGTCATGTCTCCGAAGCAGATCCCCCGGCTCAGGCTTCAACCCCACCCCCACCCCCGCCCCTAGAAACTGTGCATACATCCATGGATACATCATCTCCCGATCCAAACGACGAGGTAGATATGATCATGACCAACAATGATGCCGGTGAGTCAATTGTTCAGCCAACGCTTCCAGAACAGGATTTGAGCGCTGCAAATACTGTCTCCGAGCAGGACTCAACCGTACCCATGGATATCGATGACGAGTCACGGCCACCAGTCAATGATGAAGTATCAAAGGGAGAGGGCAAGGAAATCCTAGAGACGACTGACACGCTAAATGAAGAACAAGAACGGACTGTTCCGGAGCCTGCTACTAATGATGCTGAAGCTGAAGGGTCTAGTCCTGTGCAAACATATAGCCAGTCTGTGGATATTCAACATGGAGCGTCTTTGTTACTTTGGGCCGCCGAGGTGCCAGCGGAGGAACTTATCGCTGACACTCCTGTTCTCGAGAAGAACTCACCGTTGCCTGTGACCTTGCCTGTGCCTCCGGTTTCTGCACCTCCGGCCTCTGCACCAGCTGTCCAAATTGCTGAGGAGCCACAAGTCTCTCAGCAACCGGACAAGGTTCACGAGGCCATCGCGGTTACGGCCACTCCAAGTGTGAAGAGAAGGTCCAGAGCCAAGAACACAGCGTCAAAAGATACTACCAAGCCACCTAAGGGAACGGCCAAGCCAAAAACCCCCAAGACCAAGCTTACCGGGATACGAAGAGCGGCGAAGCGGTCACTTGTCGTTTCTCTGAAAATGCGGAGAGCGGGGGGCGCACAGGATGAAGGAACATCACCCTCGCGCGCTGAGGAATCGCATCCCGATGGTGCTGCTGTTGCTGCAAGTACAACTCGTACACCACCCCCGGCCACCCCGTCTAATAATTGGCTCCCGGCCCCGACAGGCTTCACCCCCGTCAACCCTCCCAACGCTCCCTCGCCAATTCGCGTCTCACCTTCCACGCCCGCGCCGTTGCCCAGGCCACAACCGTACCGACGCCCAGAGCCGACGACCGCGCCCCGCCAGATCGCAGCGAAGCCGGGGGGTGAAAGCCCAAATCCAAGGTCCACATCTTCAGCAGAGTTGCTTGCGGCGGCGCGGAAGCAAACTGGCCAGACGAAGAACGCAAAGTCCAAGGTCGCGGGTTCGAGAGTCGGAAGCGCGACCTCTACCCCCGATTATCCGAATGCGCCTATTCCGTCGCCTATCGCGTCTCCGCACAGTCTCGGCCGACTTGCTACTAATGCACGACGCAACCAGCCCTCGGAAAGTACACCTTCCCCGAACAGGCCAGTCCAGCAGCAGCCGCAGCTGGCGGTGGTGGCGCCGCCACCTGTGGATGAGCCCATCATCCAGCAAGCCCCTGTTCCTGTTGTGGCCACCGCACGAAATGTCTCACCACTTGCCATAGATAAGAACAAAGAGATGCAGGTCCACCCTGTTCCAGATGATTCGCCCGCAGCAAGTTCGGCGCAAGTACTCGAGGTTCCGACCGCCCCAGCTGCAGTGCAGGTAACTCAGACACCTCTAAATAATTCGGGAAGACGCCTTGGATCAAGCAAGCTCCGCGAAATGCAAATCAATGACCCAAGTTCTAGTAATACTACCCCTATAAATACCAATCCATTACCAGCGCAGCGGATAGACCCCCAAGCATCCCCCGCTGCGCGAGAACAGACTCCCGTTCCAACAACTATGTCTATCCCACCTAATACTTCTCCAACAACTGCCGAAAAGGCCATGGCATCCACAAAGTCACCCGGGCTCTCGGTCGACGTGACCACCACAAGACAGTCCACCCCACTCTCGCTCCCGCCCGCACGGTCAACACTGACACCAGAGTACATCGACTCCAAAAAGATTCAACCTTTAGTCCCGAGGGAGAACTTCCTGTACTGGGAACCCTCCCTTGGGAAGGTCGGAGGTGCGGACATTAAACAGCCCATTGGTAAGTTCCACCCACCCATTAGATTAGGGTTTCGGGGGTTCCGGAAAGGAGGAAAGCTAATACGATCTGCCCTGGTGTAGGTACTCTGTTGGGTGAGGCGAGTTCTGCAAGTGTCTCGCCGATTCATGCGTCGGCGTCGGGTTTGGTTACTAGTTTCCCGATGTCGATGGGACCTAATAGACCGTTGTTCTCACAACCACCGCTGAGACCGTTATCGCCTATACGGGTTTCTCCTTCTCCTCCGCCGCAGCCAAACCCCCAGGTGCAATCGCCGGTTCAACCCAAGCCACAACCTCAGGTACAGCAACAGGTACAACCGCAGGTAAAGCCGCAGATACAACCACAGGTCCAATCGCAGGTACAACCGCAGCCACAGCCTCAGGTACAACCACAGGCTCAATTGCAGGAACCACCGCAAACACCACAGGCACAACCTGACGTCCAACCAGCACCTCCGCCACAGCCAGACCCTCCAGCCGTAGTCTCACCAGCCCCAGTTACAACCAAAGAAATGATCTTCCACATCGCCCACTACGAAGGCAACGACCAGAAGATCACTCTCCACGGCCGCGACTTCCTCTCCCCCGCCGGGTTCGATTGGAATAGGTTCGTGGGCGTGCTCATGCAGATGATGAGTTTCAACGATGTGCACGAAGCCCTGGTCGTCAATCTGCATCACCTGGTGGACGATGGCAAGTCGCTGAACGAAGGGATCCCGTTTTATCGTAAGATTAATGAGGTGCTGATTGCGAAGGTTGATCCGGTGGGGAGGCCGCCGAAGGAGTTGTGGGAGAAGATTAAGTGTGAGAGGAAGAAGTTGAGGGCGAGGTTTGATGAGTGATGAGTGAGTAGATAGATGGGTGAGGGGAGTGGGGTTTGGTGTTGTAAGGGTATGGGGATTGGAAGGGACAGTAGTTATCTGTGATTAAATTCTTATCTTTCCTTTATCTCGGGTTTTCTTTTTACTTTCTTTTCTTTCTACTTTCTTGTGTGTTTTCTTATTGGCATGATGTTATCCTCAGGTGAGGCGGGATCTCGGGGAGTGAGAGCGGGGAATGAGGGGCAATTATTCGGTTTTAATCCTTATTTTCTTTCTCTCATCCCATCTCTTCCCCCCCTCTTCCTCATCTTCCCCGCGCTTATTACACTAGGCCTGGGTCTGTTCTATTCCATATTTTATTTCTTTTCTTTTGTGGGGTATTTTTCTTCATTGTGGATATTTGTGCATGCATGCATAATTGCTGGAGTTTTATAAACCCTGTTTTCTTTTTGTTTTCTATATTTTACGGGTCGTTGGATGTGCGTACATGTTAGTTACTTAGTAGCGCTAGTCGGTGGGTTCGAAAAGTAGGCCAAGTGGAAGGAAGGACTGAAGTGAAGTGAAGGGGGAGAGAATTATTTTATTGGGCGTCGGCCGTATTGTCATATGGAAATGCTAGATTGGGAAATTAAACCGCGATTATTATGTGGATCTGGAGACGTATTATTCTGTCGATGGAGGGATCGGAGGTGCACTGGGGTTAGTGGAAGGAGTAGGGGGCGGTATTGGATACATAGCTTTTATATATGATAATTCTACTCAATGGAGGATTAATTCTTACTGGTAAACTGTTCGTGTGGTATTTACAGAGCTTTGCGAGCGCCTGTGCCATGCGATGAATAGAAGAAGGAAAAGGCCGTAATGTCAGGCAAATGCTACCGAGTGATGGGTCATGATGCATCGCCGAAGTTGCAGATAGGGCCCCGAAAGACTTGTATTGTCTATTGTTCCCTTTTAATGATGAGGGATATGTATTTTAAGTGCTCTTGGTCTTTTTTGCGATATTTATCTGCTTGGACTCGATCTTTTTATTTTTTTGGCCCCCTATACATGTACAGGCTACCACCAATAAGAAAAGCTTTCCGCGCTGTTACTAATAGTTAATATAGAACCCCCGTACCTACTCCGCTGCTGTGGACGAGGTTAGGTTGTCGGGTATGGTAATCAATGTCTCGACTCTTGAAGTTGTGTTTGGCCAGGTATAGATTTTAGTTTTCATAGATGTAGAAGGGAGAATTATTCCCCATCAGGTTGCTCGCTCAACTGCTAGAGATGTTAATCGATTGAATGACAATTCGTTAGTCTAAGGCTGACGAGAGGTACTAGAATAAAATGCTTTGTACCTTGTTTAGAAAGTGTTACGGGTTCGAGTCGCATCCACTCTCGGGAGTGTATCGGTTGCGGTATCAGAAAATTATAGACAGAAACTTTCATGGCTACTACTGTTGCCTAGGGCTAATATTCCTCACGGTATTACGTTCTCAGTCTATCAATCGATCATATACGATATTGCTTTATCAATTTATTATGATCAATTTATTGCAATCTCCGAGTGATAGTCTATGAATAAAACATTTACACCATGATTTTTATTATCGAAATAAATTCTATCAGAAAACCACGTTTTGTGAGATTTCAGTTTATCCCTATATGATGGTGACATCACAACTTGGGGAAATAATGTCTGAAGAAAATGTAGTTTTGTAACTCGCTGTCTATTTCACACAAAGATCGCGTAGACGATAGATTCCCGATAGTTTTTACCGCCTAATTAAATCCAATAGAGACCTTGCCATTCCATCTTGATTGCTTTAAAATTAACTAATATCCAGATACAAGTATCCTTAAATTCCATGTTTGACAAGCTTAGATGACCGAAGACGCACATGCGCACGCTGAACCACCCGATGTTTAGTTAGTCAACCGCAATGAAACTGTAGCTTTCTGCGTCAAGGGATTCGACGTCTGGGCGGATTGAATTTTTGACTTTAAATGGTTCAGGGGGGTGTGGCAAATTAATTAATTATTTACACAGCTGCGCCAATTCGCATCAGCTTCCAATCCTGAGCAGCCGTTGCCACCTGCCTGCTCATTCGCTAGCGTAGTTCCCCCCCCAATTAAACCCTTACCCTGCATGAACCTTAGTCTTGTTTTCCGGCCTGGACTGCGGCACCTCTTCCAATCACGAACCATCAACCTCTCAACCCAACAATGAATCAACCTGTGATGTAAGTTGCTCCAACCATCAACCTTATCGCTTGCCAAAAGGATCTGCGGTCTTCTCTCTCATTTCCGTCGAATATTCCATGGAAATGACGAAGCCCAACCATCAACAAATTCGATCTTGGTCTTAAACCCAGTTAGCCCTTCACCGGGATCTCATTGCGAGCGACCTGTGATTGGCAGGGCTTTTAGGGATCGTTTCCTATTGTCGATCATCAATCCAGTTCCCTGGCGGCGTAAGCTCGGAATGGAATTGGCCCTTAAAGTACGTACCACGCCTTAGCAACCTCTTATATTCAATCTGCTGACTTCTTTAATGAGATGTATTCGCGACCTCTGGTGCCACCCTGATCAGCTGAGCCTACAGGTGAAATTGGTCAATGAGTCACAGTTCTCGATTGGAACCCGAGCCATGTTAACCACATCCTGTAATTCGGAATACCATATACCACTTTGTTGGTGCGCCGCGGGAGACTACCAACATATCATGGCAGATCTCGGAGGTTTGAGAAGGTCTAGAAACAATCAGGCACAAACATGGTTCCGCTTATATTCGCAGAGGCATTTTTCTTTTTTTTTCTGCCTTGCAAGCCGCTGTTGTACCATGTGTCTGGGATGCCTTGTATTACACAGCTGGACTTGGAGACCTAAGGTTTTCTGTCCAGCTAGAAAATACAATCAGATCGACCACCGGGCATGATCTAGAAACGACGCTGAATTTCGATACCTTATCAAGGTGCGGGATACAGCCCTTGATCAGGGGAAATTTATGCGACGTGGCTTTCGGGAGAAGCCGAAAGTACTAACACGGCAGAAAGCTTTTTACTATTTATGATATCGTGAGTAACGAATCTCACTTTTGAAACTATTGTCTTAATCCATCGACGGAAGCCAAAATAGAATATCGCCTAGCTCAGGTCAGCAGCGGCCAAAGATCTAACCTTCTATATAAAACCTTCTTCCGAAGTGGAAACATATCTCACGAAGATCTCTCAAGCAGGTGGTATTAATTGGAAAGAAGGCTATGGAAGCCGTTAATTATAGATAAATGGCGGAACACTCTCGTGTTATGGCTTGATACGATCAGCTTTTACGTCTCATGCTGAGGATTGTGCTCATCCACATGACCTCCTGCTTATCGAATAATTAAATTCCAATATCTTAGGAATATGGTCAGACCAATTCCCATCTCGAACCTTTCGCCAGTCGGCTGGAACTACCCCCATGATCCTATTGAATATTTGAGAAACAGATATCATCTTGAGTCACCGGTCAATGGGCTTGTCCGAGCTTTATGAGCGTCGGTCCATAATACCATATTAAACCAATTTAATCTCTACGAGTGATTACCCATGACGAGATAAATGTTCCTCTAAAGCCCTATCCCATAGTCCGTTAAAGCTGCCTATTGATTCGGGTGGCGTATTTTCAGCCGTGGCTTGTGTCAGGATCACACACCGATTCGGCTGCCATCCTTCCTCTTTTAGTAATTATTTTGTCTCAAAATAGACAGCATCTAAGTACCGGATAATGGGATACACTTCGTTATCTCATGCGTATACAAAGGCCTAGGCAGGACTATGCGCAGAACAAAAGCCTCGAACCTTGCCTGGAAATGAAACTGGAATTAAAAACAAAGCGCCAGTCATTGCTTCTTGGCTCCTTGCTGGAGGTACATGGTTTGCCTGCTTGGCGCTCCACTACCTATGAACATATTTCACAGCATCTTAATACGGTCGGGGCGGGATATGACATCAGAACCCTCGGGCCGATATATGTCTCTTATACAAGAGTCTGGAGCGGAGAACCCACGTCCCCGATGCTACGTTGTTTCCCCACCTGTCCGTGCGTCGGGATGCCGAATTTGATACCAATTGACCTGCAGATCTACTTACGGTATTCAGAATAAATGAGTTAAAAGTGGCGATGTGGCTAGAGCCGTAACCTTTCTGTTACGCCATGTTCTCCCACTTACCTTGGATACCGTAGTACGCTCACTAACTTGGTTAATGTCTGATGGTGGACCTTAGGGATTTGAGCCTGGTCGTGGTTGACTTTGTGACGCTAAGGCTAACTACTACAAATACAGCTAATGTCAATCTACGGGATCCGCCGCAAACTGAGCGCTTGTGATTATCTAATATGAAATCTTGACAAATATAATAAAACTCTCAGGGTAATGATCAGCGGTAGCTTGGTATGTAGTTATTGCTTCGGGACGAACCGCCTTTTGCTAGAATTTGAAAGATATTGCGAATACAAAGAAACTCTTCTTTTGATGGATGGTGTTAATACCGCACTTGAAAACTGCGCATCTTTCTCTGTACAGCGACCTTTCCCAGTTATTGGAGATCTTAAACTACTGGCCTTTGATGGGCAAGGTAACCAGCAGAGGTGTCTTGCAGTAGCGGGATTAGAGAATAAGGTGTTCGTGTAGTTAGCCAAGAGCCAGTCAGACTGAGACGTGGTCGGATCGGGAAAGGACAGAAGTGAGGGGCTTGGTAGTTGCATTAGTTAGGATGGATAAGAGAGGAAGGTCTCTCCTCCTCTCGGAGAACATCATCAATAGAAGTACTATCATCAGTCATTAAAAATCGTATCACTTCATGTCTCTAAGATGTACTACTTCTATCCTTCAGTAAAGCAGTACCCCCGCAGGTATTTAACCACACCAAGTAAACAAATGCCTCCCCTGGCGATATGGGGAAATACTATATTCGGACCTGAGTTTATTTATGTATACTTTTATATATACTGGGAGCGAAACGTAAGCCCGCTCTGTGAGGCGGAACGCAAACCCCGAGATAACTAATGATGGGCACGAGACTCACAGTCCCGAGACTTTGTCTCGAGACTAAGTCTCGAGACCTGACGAGACGACCTTGGGACAAGACGAGATGTCTCGAGACTTCCGAGTGATGTTAAATGATCCAAATCAGGGGCTCTTCCTAATATTTAGGCTTCCTCATGCTCAGATTTCCCCATATACAGGCTTCTGAAAATTGAGTATATATTTTAGACCTGAATTCTATCCACAATTTATTGCCAAGAATGTCTGGTCCCTGTTTAAAAGTGAACGTTAACGGATTTGGGTACAACTTCTTACCTCAAATCCGGATTGAGTTTAGCTTATAACAGTCTCGAGACTCGTCTCGAAACTTACCTCAGGTCTCGAGACTTCCAAGAGTATGGTGGGGCGAGACAAGACAAGACGAGACTTGGTGCAAAATGGTCTCGTCTTGTCTCGTGCCCATCATTAGAGATAACCAATGAGATACCATCTCCGCTAGGTAAATCGTATCGCTATTAGTCCTAGATCAAAATTACTTCTATAAGAAATCTCTGATGTAGATCGATGCCATTCAATCAATCACTCGAGCGATAACCACTAGCCAGAGATAGAGTTTTGGCGGTATATCCGGGGTAGAAAAATGCACATATCCGTCAAATTTAATACTCTACCTGAGATGCTGCGAATTAACGGTCGATTCAGTGCATACGCAGATTACAAGGGGCGCCACGAATAGCTAAGTAACTACATAGGTATAATACACCCTTGCACCATAGGCCAACTACAGACATCACGAGTCCAGTTGCACTACATGTAGGTACGACTGGGGACGATCAAAACGATTTTGATGGGACTGGTCATATTGTATGTAGGTCGTATCAATGCCAAGAAAGGCGATTCTAGTAGAAAAAGATACAGACACTTCTCGAGTTTTTCATAACTTGATGAATCGACCCCGGAAGAGGATACGACCCGACCCATGGGTCCTCGACCAGGTCCTAACACTGACCCGTCGCTACGGGCCGTGGGTCGTTACCAACACCAGGAAGCTTTGGCACGAGACAGACATTGCCCATACAAAATCGATGAGGAAAAGGTCGATGTTTACTTGAAATACGTATTTACTACCCTAGAACGATTAATAGACGACTTATATGTCCTTATTCTACACCTTTCTATCACATAAACTTGGTACCAATTTTGGACGATATATTGAGGATGAACTAACGACATATAACACTTTTCTCATCCACCTCCATAATAAACGTATTCATGTCATCAATCCTACAATTTACAAGGTACTACATCTATCTGCATCCATGGCTCAGTAGATATGTTACTAAGTAGTCAAGAGATTGCCGAAATCTATTATGGCCCGACGGAGCCAACGAAGGTCGGCAATACGTTATCAATCAACGAAAGTCGGCCTGGTTCGTCGGACAGCCCCCCCCCGGGGGGGACCCCACGTCACCCTCTAGCTTTGCTCTAGCTAGGCACTGGTCATTTCAGAATTCAAGATTCCTTTAAAACGGTCGATACATGTGCTGGACTCATGGTTTGGAGCCTTGCATAGAAGTGCAAATTCACAGGTGTAAACCATCAAGTAACGATACGATCGAGGAGTACCTCCAGGGGAGCTTGAGCCAATAGAGATTAAAGAAAACCAGATATCTTGCAAGTTGGGTTTATACTTATTGCCATAACTGTTGTCAACTAGAAGTATTCGTTGATCTACGGACGGTACTGAAGGGCCTTACTCGTTCCTTTCCCAATTAGACCACAGCTATGTGTTGTATCCACAGAGTAGAATCCGAGTAGGAGTGCTTGATTAAGCTTGGATTGGTCGTTCATGCAAAATTCGTATTCAGAAGGTGGCTATCATATTTTTTGATTGGTATTATGTACTTTTGCATGCTTATACCTACAGTACATGCCAGCTCACAAGACAGTGATGCTTAAGCACGTCTTGCATCTAGTGCGCACGAGTGCGCACATAGTGGGGAGTTGAGGCTAGTATAAACCCCCAAAGATTACCCCCCTGGACAATCAATGGCTCTACCGAAGAACGGTAGTAACGATAATCTCTAACGATACTCTCTTAATAAGATCCTGAAATCCCGAAAACTTACGCCTCGATACAAAATATTTCTTGTACCCATAACGAACGGCTTCTCCTCCCATTATATACATCTGGGAACTCATTATACGTATTTCCTGGAATTCAAGCAATGAACTTCGGGGTTTCCGCTCAGAGGGACCAAAAGTTGTTCGAATCTACTCTTTCGAAAATGAATAAGATTGACTATATGATGCGCAATGCGGGGTTTACAAAAGAGGTATCTTTCACCCTAGAACAAGCCGAGCTTCTGATTTATTCAATGAGGGTGAAGTTTACTAACTATTATAGACTTTCATTAATATTGATGTTCCCAGAGATACGGTTAGCGAAAAAGAAATGGACCGTTTGGCAATATTGTACTGCGTGGTGCATATGGGTGAAAGTCTCGGTGGTGTTAAAGAACAATACCGTTGGCACGGTATCATCTCTAGGGAAGCTTTCGACATGGTCAAGAAACGGAGAAACTCTTCGGGACACGACTACGAACATCCAGAAAAGAGAATGGACTACGAAGATATGTGGATATTTCTCACCGTTGACTTTGTGAAAATAAAGGCAATGATCGAGGAGGCTATAAAGATCTTGGAGGACCATCTTCACAGCACGGAGGCCGAGAAGACCGCTTAGGACGTGCACGCCGAGCTAGATCAACATTTCCTAAAATGGTGAACGGTGCAATACGCCTCCGCTTGCCAGTCACCAGCTAGTAGTATTTGATATTTCGGTGGTGTTTCCAGTATTTTATTTATTTAGTGCTGGTATATGGTCGCCGTCTTTCGATGATTTATTGCTTTATTTTCATTTCTGTTCTTTCCTCGTTCAATGAATATTGATCAACAGGACTGTAAAGTTACAGGAGGATGTGTTTTTATTCTGTGTTGCGTCGGGTGTCTTTAAGATAGGCATCGGTGGTCCGGCGGATTGAGAAAGATATTTTTACTACTCTAGGCTTGGACTTCTGGAAATATCGATCGTTGGAGGAGGTGTCTCCTCTCTCTGTCTCTGTTTTTTCTTTTTTTTCTCTTTTTTTTTAATCTAAATGTGTTGCCAACGTTTATCGATTTTTACCATCTTACCGGTTTTTATCGTTTTATCGGTTTATATCGTTTCTCATTTATATTATCGTCCTTTTTGGTGCGTCAACTCATGTCTCGTAAAGAACAGAATGTCCTCGACTTCAAGCCAATCAACCGAAGACCTATTTCTATATCTACGCTACATATACTAGTTCTTTCCAATGGCAAAGCCACTACACCTGACAGCTAATCGCTAAGCCACACTCAATTATTGGAGGAGAGGTGACCTGGCATTGCGCTATGAACAGGAGGTCCTGGATATGTAAGTCTTATTCTTGCAGCCCGGTATCCTAAAAATCATCTGGATGGATCTTTCCCATCAAAATCTACATTTATGACAGTTTAGTCATTTCCTGACGTTTGTGGACGCAACTGCTATTGTATACCATACAAAAACGCGCCAAGTCGAGAATTTAGTTCCATCCCTACCAAACGTCTAGCGGTTGGATCCATCTCTACGATAATTCCAGCAAAATTAAATCACCACGGGGGTGGGATTATGATAGGTTTTGCTGTACTGCTGAACCTATGTAATATTGGCCCATTTTACAAACGTCATACAGGGTACATACATCTAAACATGCATATATGTACCACACCGGCCTGTACCCGCCACTAGTACTATCAAGCCACCCCGCTGGTTGATGTGATTCATAGCTTCTTGATCCAATCAACAAGCTAGACGTACCAGGCTATGATATATATTCAATCGACCGGATCCATGTACCAGCTAGGCTCCCGCCGGACCCCACCGCCGCGGATGTACGGAGACAACGCTTCTCTGAGAGCACCTAAAGAATAGTAGCCTTACTTGAATGAAGTACCCTCAATGGGCCTTGGCGCAGTGTTGGTGTTAGCTAGATTGCATATATATTCAAGGGAGATCGAGTGATATTACTACAAGCTAGCTTCGATGGCGCATGTAATTTCGCTCAGGTTTAGGCCAAATGATTCCCCAGTGAGAGTAGGAACCAGTATCCCTTTTGCTCTCTACATGTATCCCCGGCCATGGCCACCGAAGAACACGGGTCCCTGGCCCACTACTAGTACACACGCTAGACGTCATCCAAGTAGATATTAGATGAGAATACGTACCATACAGCTAGCTGGGATCGGTCATGAAAACCCGCAGACGTACGGAAGGCTTCCGATTTTGATTGGGTGCTCAATATGTACTTGATCAACATGTGTAGAGGGTTTCTTGATTTTTCAAGTAAAGCTGAAGTGACAGTAAATTATCATGATTGTTGAAAGGAATGGGAATCCAGCTATTCATAATTTCATAATCTCCTTGAACACGGCTGCTATAAATTGCGTGCTATACAGAAGGATTGATTCGGCAGGTTTTGATATATACTTATGTGTGCAGCAGAAGTCGCGTTGAGACACGTTATATTTGGCAGGGCAATTAACAAAGACATGGAGCTACGACACACGCATATTGCACTTAGAAAGATATATGTACATACCTAGCGTGTGAGGTTGAGACACGCAGACACTGTGAATTCCTACTAATTCAGTAGCTCTTTCCCTAGTAGTAAAACCTGATTAATTGTGAACACCGCGATGCAGAGCTTTTGGGACCGATTTTGAACTATGGCGTACGTTGGTTATCAACGGTTTACACCGGCAGTCCTTGGACAAGTAACGGGTACGTATAGTCATAGTTTTGGAAGAGACGAGACGAGAGTTAGGAAAGTCTAATCTATCTCATCTGTATTTTTTCAACTCAGTCTTGAAAAGCTCGAGAATACGTCAAAGTATCAAGGCTTTTTGCAATGTGGCCTTATATAGCACTGGCAAGGCTCTGTAATCACCCTAATTAATGCGAATAAAGAGTCAATTTGTTTTGGGACTGGAGCTGGAGAGTATATTCTGGTGCGGAAAGATATCAAAAAGGTCTCCAGACTCGTCTCAAGACCCCCAGAGCTCACTTGCCTTGCCTTGTCAGTCCTAAGATTTAGCCTTGTTTTGCCAAAGGTCTCGGTACGGTACTATTAGTAATTCGAGACAACTTTTTTCGTGCCCACTATCAAAAGGCCGCAAACTGCTACAAGTATGTACTGAACACATATATTCTAGGCGATTGGCAGATACGTATCATACGTCAGATGATTCGCGAATGGATTTGAGGTTTTCGTGAATAGATCCCGAGCCTCATCCATACATCTGCGGTTGGACCAGTCTATTCAGGAACAGCCCGGTAACAATGTGTTTTTCAATATGGTAATAGAGCATTTTAGTCCATCCCTGTAATTTATTATTCGGCCATATTTCTTCTACGTAAAATGGTGTGGCGCACGTAGCTTCTACAGCAGAAATATAGCCGAATTATGGTAGAAATATGGGGACTAAAATGCTCTAATTTGCAGTGAGGAAATTTAAACCCTTTCTTTCTATAAATTATAAATAGAAGACAACTTTAATTCGATGCCTAGACTATCTACAACCTCTATAGTAACATAATCACCTATATGCCTTTATCGCCGCCCTTCTATACTGACTCAGCTTGAACAAAGTTGGGTTTATGCAGTTGGCCGGTGGATACATTTGAAAAACACATTTTCCTACTCTTCGAGCAGTCTATCCGCCAATGGACCGTGCCAGTCTTATATGCACACTTTAAGCAGTCTATTCACGAATACGGGGTATTCGCCGAAAGTCGGGAACAAACGGGTAAAACAAAGTTCGACGTGACTCCTTTCTCTACCTATTCTGGTGTCTCTTCCTCCATAGCTAGCTTTCCTGGATATCACCACATCATCGTAGGCCTGATATATCCCCCAGAAACTGCAGTCACGCGGCGCTGATTTTAATTGAATGCTTGTTTCTAGATATTAAGGCATGACTAGAGTAGTGGTGCAGGGAATATCAGTGTACTACATATTCACAGTTGTGTACAGGATCCAGAAAACGGGGGATTTGAGTCCCGCGCCCCCGAGGTCTCACTGCCAAGACCTACCCCGAGGGGCATCGAGACAGCTCGAGGTATAGTTGTATGGCTGGAGCCGGTAACCCAAAGCAAATCCCCTCGGAGACAGAGAAAATCGAAACACCCCATCTTCCTCGATGCGCCTCAGGGACAACACTGACTGTGAATTTCAAAATTCAAGACATGAGGCTTCGCGGAACCACGTGAAAATCTTTGGCAAAAACATGCGAGACATAGAGGTTAATTGGTGCCGGTACGCCGGACAGTGAGTCAACTGGTCTCAGCAAGTACCGTGTCCTCAGTAGCGAGTGTCTTAAATCTGCTCGCCAAAATTCACATTACAAGGCTACATCAACACATCGGAAATTAAATGTTATACAAATACCAGTTTCGCCGTTTAGCAGCCAAGTATTGTAAAAAATAATGATTTGTCCGACCTCCGTTAGTAGCCGGATGAAAAGGAAAGTTTTTAAAACGGGGTCTCAAAGTACGTCTTGTGCCGTTTGGGTGTGATTTTGTTGGTGATCCTATGCATGGCAATAGTAGGTTGCATTATTTAGGAGTTATAATATGATTATGGCAGTTACTGTAGAAAAAGCAGGTCCGAGTTGCATACTCACCTGAAAACTCCGTTCTAATCGAGTTAACACTGTTTTCAAAGCCCTCAAAATGGCATTGACCCTCGATCATGATATCATATAACTCCGTTTTAAACCGCTCCCAAACAAGCCCTAAATTCTTTAAAACGTAGAACAAGTAGAGCTACTTCTCAGCTATCAAAAAGCCTAAGTCCTTTGCAATCGAGTTTGGGTCATGAGAAATAGGTAGCCAGTGGTGGTCTACTTTGATGGTTTGTGCTAGGTGTCACTTAAATGAAGCCGGCATTCTCAATGTAAACATATTATAACAACCAACCTGGATCGAAGTCGCAATAACCTGGGGTACGTACGACTAACTCGAAAAGGGCTGCACTCCTGGCGAACCTGGGCCCTGGTAGCTGGGATTTCTAAAATTTAATAGAGGGTTCCGGCAAACCTCAAATCCCCTGCGGGATCTGCTGTAACCACAGTAACATCGATAGAAGTAGAAAAGCGGAAAATCGTGAACATTTTCTGCTGGGATATGATGACTCCCCTGACAGTCAAGTCCAGAGGTCAGGGGTGTCTTTAATCTCTACGAAAAACGCCTGATGTAGATAAACGAAAATAAAGCTAAGAGACTGTAAACACATCTATTAGGCAGTCACCATTCCCTTTCAAAATTGGCCCCTACACCTTGATCACAGAAGTCACCTTGATCACAGAAGTCACCTTGATCACAGAAGTCACCTTGATCACAGAAGTCACCTTGATCACAGAAGTCACCTAGCGGAACTTCTACACCCAGGTCATCTTTGCCGGAACTCAGTTTTTTGAGGAGCAAAAAACGTCTGGAAAGCAGACTCTCGGCGTTTTTTCTTGGCGGTGCCGGAACCCTCAATACGGTTGGGCCCAACCATACAGTGCACTTATCCTTTCCATTTACTGCCTGCCTGTGCATACCCGCGCGAAATCCTCAATGCGGACTCCGCATTGGTAACGACCGGGGGTCCTAACGATTTATCTTGGGGTCGGGTCAAA